CAGAATTGGATACATTACAGCTGTAGAAAAAAGCAAAGAATAAGGTAACTGATTTTATCATTCTATGCAACCAACTGTGATGAACCCAGTTCTGAATTGGGCTGATATTAGGCCTCTGATGTAATGCAGTCTTACAGCCAGTCTATAAATCATGACATCTGCTTGTGAAGCAGGACTTCCCCTGTAACAGACATCTGTCTGCTATAGTTGCAGTTAAAAACTAGACCTTCAAGATGATAACAAAATATTGTGTTTGGCCATTCAATGATTCAATTAAATCTGGCAGATCTATAGCACAGCAAATATAGTCCATATTGCAGTGTGTTACAAATACTTCTTACAAATATTTAATGCAATGCTTCCAGCACCTAGAAGAATTTCTCAGCATTAAAATTTCAAAGTAAAAATATTAAATAATACTTACATTTGTCTTCTGGGTATTTGTTTTGGAACTATCTTTTACATTAGCAGAATCTGTTTAATGCAAAAAAAAGATCAGAATAAATTAGTACTAGCTGTAGAATTGTTGTACAAAGAAAAATTGAGGGAATCACTGTAAATACCTCAATTGAATTAATACCAGAATCACTGTATTTGTGATATATTCTGCTGTCGTAAATGTGAGGGTGAGCCATCTAGAAGCATTTAATGACAGCAGTTTATGTGATTATTGTTATGCAGATATTTCATGATCTCAGCTATGTTCCAGGCCACAAACTTCACTAATTATTTCTAGGACAAACAACAAAGATGCAGTATGTGACATACATAATGTGATGCTGATTTATGACCACTTCAAAACTGTGATGCTGATTTGTGACCAGTAAAGATACTTTCGTTAGAAACAAACCTCCACAAAAGTTTTAAGTGCTGTTGCTGGGAAGAAAGCAATTACTAGATGCAAACTATGAACAGTAAACACTCCCAGAAATGCTCTGATTGCAGAACACTACATATGAGATAAAAAATGGCACTGCCAGGATAGTGTAGTTACCTTCTTTAAGGGAACTGTTTGCCAGCACGTTGATGAGTCCAATATCCACGCTCATGTTGGAGAAGGCATTCATGGCCACCACTTTTACTAGGAAAGTACCTAGAGAAGATGCATAATCAATTAGGAATAGCAGTGCACCAGTCCATTCTGCTTGGGACCTAAAATCCAGTTCCTAAAGAAAACAGTGATTCAGGAAGGTGTATTCATGTGTACAAGAATTAGGGGCGGGGCCCTGAAAAGCTGAATTCTGCTCACTATGTCTTTTTTATTGCAAAATTCAGGAGAAGCCTTCTTTTTGGTCCCTTTAGGAAAAACAATTTGCACTTTTAATTCTTTTAGATTGGTTATAAGTCAATAAGACTGTGTTGTCCACACTTTCCTGCAGACCAAGTCTGAGCAGTGAAAAAAGTTAACAAATCCATGCTATAAGTTATTGCCCCCCACCCAGGGATGCCGTGATGGACTGTGTGGACTCCTGTGCACGGCTGTGCACAGCTGTCTGCATGCTGTACCTTCGGAGTACACAGGTATGCTGTATGTTTGAGGCTCCCCGTGAGGGCTGTCTTCCTCATGAGAGTTTGTTTCATTGGATCCCACAACCTCAAACTTCAGTGTATCTGGGGCTCCATGAGACACAGAGACATTTATCTCTAAATTCTCTCCCAGCTCCAGAGTGTGAGAAGCTAATACAGCCTGAAGACCAGATACTGGCTCAATGAAGTGGACAGCAATGCTCTTGGAGAGTTCCAATGTGGTTTTGTTACTGGATGCTCGGATTTCCAGCTGATGTATCCCAGGGCCTAGTAGCTCTTGCAAGGTACTGTTGAGTGTCAGATTGTGAGGGACAATTCCTTCTTTTGTACTGGATTCAGTGATTGTCTTGTTATCTGCTAATATAACGTAGGTCACTTCATTACCTGCAAAAAGACAGTTCAAGATTTCTCACAGCTTGCCTAACAGGCCATCCAACTCTAGCTCTCTTGTGCAACACTGAGATACACTAAGGTCAAAAGAATACTGCAGCAATGCAATTACTTTGACTAGATTTGCTTTATTTGGTTTTGTGGCCCTCTGAAAGCCTATCACATTTATTTCCTGCTGGGGATCTTAAGGCAGTCAAGAGAATTCAAACATATGCTACTGAATTTTATCTTTGAAGCATGTACATGGATTCCTGAAGTGAGAACTAAATATGTACCAGCAAATATGACCTGCTCAGTGTGGAATCCTCTTCTCTTGTTCAGTGAAGGATTTCTGCAGATGCTTCATATATGGAAATACTCCTACTGACTTCATGTGGATTTGCATGATTGAAGTTATGCCCATGCTTTGTCAGCTTTGTGCAGGGGCAAAAGGGTTTATGCTCATGTATGAAATGCCGTAGCAGCTCT